TTCGCCTGTCGTAGCTCATAGTGGCTTTATGTTTTTTATCTCTCTCTCTCTCTCTCTCTCTCTCTCTCTCAGTACATATAACACCCTTATATACTTTTAGCTCCTGTTTACAATTTCCATTATTTTCCCCGTAAAAAAATAATAGTTTGTAGAGATTAGGCGGGAAAATATTGACCTTCTTTTATTTTTTCCTACTGTTGGTATTACTCCGCCTTAGGTAACAGGAGTGGGCTGTGGAGAGGGAGGAAAAGAGGGGAGTAATCCTCTCCTTCCCACCTTATTGCTCTTTCTTCCCTCCCTATTCCCTCTTCTATCCACCCTACTCCCTATATTTCCCTCGTTATCGCCTTTCCTTCCTGCCTCCCCTCCCTCCCCCCCTCCTTCTTCCCTCTTCCCCCCTCCCTCCCCTCTCCCTCCCTCCCCCCCCTCCCCTCCTATTCTCTTCCTCTACGTCCGTACAAAAGCTTCCCATGTGTGTGTGTGTGTGTGTGTGTGTGTGTGTGTGTGTGTGTGTGTGTGTGTGTGTGTGTGGTGTGTGTGTGTGTGTGGTTCAGCTCCGGGTTATGATCAAGCACAGCCCACCAATACCCTCATGCGATTCGAATTTGTTTTGGATGTCTCTATTTTTTCTTCCGAGGAGGGTGCCCGGGGGAGTAGAGGTGGAGGGGGGGGTGCCCGGGGGAGTAGAAGGAGGGGGTGCCCGGGGGAGTAGGGGAAGGAGGGAGGTCCTTGGGGAGTGGAAAGGGGAGAGGGAAGAGAGTGGGCTTGTATACATCATATCATCGAACCTTCTCATTACAAAGTCCTAAAAATCCCTGACGTTATTTATTCATTTAAAATCCTCGACTCAACACAATAAATCCGTATTCCTGGTACAAGAACACCTCACTGAGTTCCTACCGTTAGTGATCGAAATTGAGAGAGCTGCAGCAGTCTAAAGGATTATCTCCCTTCTCTCCCTTCTCTCCCTTTCCCTCTCCCTGTCTCTTTTCTCATCCGTCTTCTCTCTTCCCTCTTCCTCTCCCCTCTACATTCCTTTCCCTCGTCCTCTTTCCATTTCCATCTCTCCCTACCCTTCTCCACCTCCCCTTCCCTTCCTTTTCATCTCCCCCTTTCACTTTTCCTCCCTCTCTCTCTTTCTCCCTTTCCTTCTCCCTCTCTCCTCCTCCTCTCTTCTCCACCACACCCCCTGGTTGATCTTACATAAGAGATATGGTATTTTTAGAAACGGATTCATTCAGCATCGAGGTCTGTTTCGTGATCTGGAATTCACTGCTGTGGGATCAAGAATAATCGTCAGTGTCGCGTCTATAACACAAGACCGTACAATAGGAGATGGATTTATTGGTGTTATTATTAGTGTTATTAGTGGTGTTATTGTTGTTATTTTTATTACTGTTGTCATCATTTCCTTCCTCCAGTGTTTTGGGAGAATGTATTTGGTTTCAGCAATGTTCCCCTCGTACACCGATTTCGTGGAATAATGGTAAAATCCGTGAAAGTAAAACGGAATTCGTTAAAATAATATACTTAAATTCGTAGAACAATGGTAAATTTCGTAAACAATTGCTATAATTCGTGAAAGAGTAAAATTCGTCGGGAAATGGTGGTAATCGTAGGAAAATGGGAAAATTCGTCGGGAAATAGTTTAGGAATTGTGCCGCTTACTAATGGAGTCGCCAATTGAGTTAGAATCGATTGTCATAGTTTTTTTCTTAATTGTTTGCGGCCTAATGTACCGAGAGAATTTTGTTGTGTTGTGTTGTTGTGTTGTGTTTATTGAGTCCTTTCACCCACACACCCCTCTCACTCTCCCTCTCAAACACACCCATCCCACACACCCCTCTCACACACCCCTCTCAAATACCTCTCTCAAACACCTCTCTCACACACCCCTCACACACACCCCTCTCACACACCCCTCTCAAACACCCCACACACCCCTCACACACACCCCTCTCACTCCCCCACAGTCGACGAAGCCAGTCACTACCACACTTTGTCTTAACAAGTGTCGAAAACGTGACGCCTGGCATCATTCTGTCGCGACACTTGACTCCTGACCCAGATATTGAATGGCAGAGATGGATGGTTGACCTGGATGGTTGGCCTGGATGGTTGAGATGGATGGTTGAGTTGGATGGTTGGCCTGGATGGTTGGCCTGGATGGTTGGCCTGGATGGTTGAGATGGATGGTTGAGTTGGATGGTTGAGATGGATGGTTGAGTTGGATGGTTGAGATGGATGATTGAGTTGGATGGTTGAGTTGGACGGTTGAGTTGGATGGTTGGATAGTTGAGATGAATGGTGGAATTGGATGGTTGAGCTGGGTGGTTGAAGAGGTGGATAGTTGAATTGGATGGCCTTACATAATAAGTAGTAAATAATAGTAAATAGAGTCGACCATCACATGTAATAGTGGTCACTTATACATACATACATACATACATACATACATACATACATTCATACATACATACATACATACACCTAACGCTCATAATATGAATTTTCCCCTTCACACACACACACACGAACAGGTAAAATATCTTCTCAGTAACCATTATATATATTACGCTACCTGAGACAAACAAAGTTCTTTATTTTACGGTAGATTAAAAAAAAAACCACAAGACTGACTTTTCTGAGGTTAGGAGTCATTAAAATATAGTATAATTATCTTCATTATTTCTAAACTTCCCAGAATATTAGAGATTTTAATGAGCTCGTGAATCAATACGATCGCGGGGGGGGGGAGGAGGTGTGTGTGTGTGTGTGTGTGTGTGTGTGTGTGTGTGTGTTCTGGTGAGAAGAATGATTTATGGCTCATTAAATATGGACCACAAGAAGACGATAAGAGCTGTGAGGTGAGAGAGAGAGAGAGAAAGTGGGAAAGAGAGGGAAAGAAAAACACCAACATATTCTGTCAGTCATCTCTCCCATCCATGAACCCGGAGCCTCGTGAACCTCTGAATCCGAGACATCGACCCATTCCACCATCTATGAACCCAACAATGTGTGATGTCTCGGATTCACAAGTTCACGAGTCCAGTTCAGACGATTGACAGGAGGGTGTACGAGTCTATGTACTATCGTAGGGAGGTGTACGGATCCATGAAATATCAGACGAGCACACCTGTAACACCTGCTAATACCTGCTAACACACCTGACTTAATATATACATGACAGAACACCTGCCAGATCGACACAACAGAGGAACAATAGACCCACAGTAAATGGAACCATACAGGTGGAAAGCCAATCCTGTATTAGCATTTCAGATCAGTTCTCCCGAGTCAACGAGAGAATAGGTTAAAAAACGAAAGAGAGAGAGAAAAAAAATCATTAAACGCTATTTATCTTCGCTAGTCTTTCATTAAGCTCCACGTTCAGTTAATGGTTGAGTGGGGAACTAACGTGACAGCGCCCATCTACCTGTTAACGAGTGTTTGTTGAGTAATTAGCGGAGTTAATGAGCCGCCGTGTTGGTAATGTTGACGTAATGTTATGGTACAGTATCTCACACTTGATGGACTCTCTCTCTCTCTCTCTCTCTCTCTCTCTCTCTCTCTCTCTCTCTTAGTGGTAAAACTTGTGGATAATTGGTCCCTGGGGGCTAATTCACTCCCCCTTTTTTCGTCCCCACGGGTTAACGAGCTCTTAGTGTTATTAAATCAATATTACCTCATCTTAAAGTTCTATTTTCTCTTCATTATTTTCAAAGGTCAAATTTTTCAAGGGGCGGGCGGGCGGGTCATGGCCAGAAGTGAGTAATTTGTATATTATTTCTTTTATTGTTTTATCGTCATATATTTTAGGAGGTTGTGATGTTTAAGGATGTTAAGATGAGGAGGTTGTGATCCCTTACGTCAATAACCTACTGAGTATATATAAATTGTTTGTATTGGATAATCTGGTGTTATCGCGCAATATAATGTAAGGAACAATGGACTCAATGTGTTTTATACGTCGCTAAATTCAGGGGTAAACACGTTCGTCTATTGGAATGTTCCCTCCAGAGTCCCCCTATAGTAACGGAATCATTTACTGGACTGTATTACTCAAGGTATATACAAGAAAGAACTATTACTCCCACATATCAGTGTAGAGTGTAATGTTCAATCTGTCAAATGTGTAGAAAAATAGTTCCCAAGACAAGTAGCCATCACTGTGTCATGTGAGTGAAAGACAAGAGGAAATACAACCATATGAAACTCCATCGTTCTCCCAAAGATAAAAAAGGTAAGTTAATATTAATATGCAAGTTTTTTGTGGAAATTAAGTTATATAACCCCATTTAGTGCTGGGTTAATATTCGTTTTAGCACATGACCTGTAAATGAAGGTTTGAATCCCACAAAACACAGGGAAATACACCAGAAAACCCTGTTTCACGCCATAGTGCTTTTGAAGAAAGTATTTACAGTATAATGGAGAAAATATATACAGATATGTATATTTGATATTGTTTTATGTCATTTATTGTTTCCTATTTTGGTTTGATGTCACACGATCAACGCATAATTGAAAATTATAAAATAAATTAGTTACTCATACTATTTACATCATTTTCTGTGATGATGCACAGATTACGTGCTGTTAGAAAACTACCACGAACAATGTGAAAACTTCGTGCGTAATTATTTGTTAATGCAGTTAACAAACTAAATGATAATATTGTCAGTCCTGAGGCATCATTTTAACTTTATGTTTTCTATAAACATTTCATAGTTATCACTTACGACACCGGTTTACTTTGGGTTGTGTGGTTGTTTATCGGGGACTTGACTTTGCTCTCTTATAGTTTTTAATGATACTATATTTAAAAAATCGAATAGAATGGTTGTTGCATAAATTTTTTTAAGTTAAAAATAGTCTTGCTTGATTGATATCACATTTTAATATAATGCTTTAATATCTTCCTCTTGTCCGTGGAAGGTTTTGTACATTACACTCTTGTAGCCAATCAGCTGTGAGGTTCATACTCCGTGGCGGTTCATTCCACCAATCAGCAACAAGTTTCTGTCCTCACTCGTTGGACGTCAACACCGTGTACTGGTGATCTATATCTGTGTCCAATATTTCGTGGCTAAAAACCAACCAAGATGTATAACGAGTTTGTGGATGAGGTAAGATGAGTAACTATATGTGTCACTGGTTGGTTTAGTAACTACCAGGTGATTGATGGGGCTCGTAATACTAACAAACTGTTCATCTCCCTCTAGCATGTTGCCCCTCTGGTTAAAATAAACATCACCGGTGTAGGGGGGGGGAGGTATGCCTATTTTAATGCATTGTTATTATATGGAATGATTGCAACTATATAAGCACCATGATTAAGTTCCTGTAATAGTAAAATAGGTGAAGTTGTTAGAGTTTGGCCTTTGGTTAGGTTAGGTAGAGGACATACTAAGATATTGTTGTGGTAAAATTATCGTTTTGGTCATCCACCTATTTGGAAGTAGGTCATAATTATTCAAAAGACATGAAAGACCATCGGAAAACATAATTTCAACCTAACCTAACCTAACCTAACCTAACCTAACCTAACCTCTCTCGGATGGTGGAATCTTAAAATCCTAAAATTCGTTGGATGACTGAAACGAAAATAATACCAATGTGGTTTCTAATTATTAGTTCAGACAAAAACAAGAAAATTTTCATTTATGACCCTTTTGGCGCATTTTACCCAGACTGCGTGAGTATAAAATCAGAAAACTAGGGTTAGGTTAGGTTTTTCTGGTTTCTCTGGTTAGGTTAAGTTAGACATGTGCTGTAGGTGTGTACTATTTATCATTAGTTAGGCAGGTTCTTTTGTTCGTGATATTTTGTGTTTTTGGCGGGTACAATATTGGGGTGTTCTTGTCATTGGGAAATCAAACCCTATTTTTCCCAATGATGTTCTTCTATTTGCTATAAAATAATTTACTTAACAAATAGTTTTTCAGGAACCTAACCTATTCATAGAGCAAAGGATACCTGTATTTGAAATGAGCGCCAAGTACGGTAATTCCCAGACCGAGAGGGAAATTTCCCACCGGGTGGATACAGCGCTCGCCTCCTATTCCATCAGTCTGTGATTCACCCAGCTGTAAATGGGTACAGTACCTAAGTATACAACTTGGGGAAATTACTGCAGTACCGGCCACACTGTCTCCTTGTGTACCAAAGGCTTAGTATACAGTGTGCTGTATCTTCACCGTCCAGCACTCTCATGTTGGTACAGCCTTCCCTCTCGCCCTTATCTCACACTGATAGCACTCCTTCCATAAGCAAAAATACTGGAACAGTGGACTGGCTTTATCAACCACCTAAGTTCCTCCCACTAGCCTCATGGACTGGCATTGTATCTCTAAGGGTGCAATTTGAGTCTGGATCGCTCTACCCAATGTTTACTAAAATGGAAAATCCTTTGCTGTTACCAACGCAACTTGTGTCAAAAAATTGTGAGGGGTTGAGACTATTTGCTGGAGTACCAGAGGGTTAAGGGTCAGTCTTGCCCATGGGACCCACTCTCACTTTTAATATGTTGAACATTTTAAATAAAATTATTTGATCGTTACTTCTATATTAATGAAGGAGTGCTACTCATCATGATAAGTTATTACACACAGGTAAAGTCCAGATATGTTGGTAAATACCATACAGTAGCAACAGGTTGTCTTAAAGTGGGTCACTGTACCTGAAGTTAACTTGTCTTCGGTTCAATTATGATGATAAAATTCAACATAACTTTGGATATACATTACAGGTATTGATAAAACTTGGATGAAATCATGTTGTAATTGTAAAACTCAGGTTGAATAAAGTAAAAATTTAAAATGATGTTATCTGTAGTGTTGCTATATGTTCAGCTAAATAATGATGAACAATGCACCAATAGTTTTAGTATATTGTTCTTTATACTGTATGTTGATTTATTATTTGCAGTATGACAGTTATGCAATAGAAGACTCGGAGAATTACCACTACACAGTGAGGGGAGAAGGAGAGTTTGGAGATCGTAGCCACTATCCAACCTATTCCATCCCTGAGGAAGTGAAAAAATATGTCACTTATTTTAGAGATGCCATGCGTGATGAGAACATCTATGATATTCCTTCTCTTTACATGGAGTAAGTTATTTTAGTTCCATCTTTACCTTTTGTAACATAAATTAATCTAACAATTTTTTTTTTTGCTTATTGGCCATTCATCAGCTGACCTATGGGATAACCTGCTTCAAAAAACACCTTAACAGAACCTGTCTTGTGTAGAGAGCTATATACACTCTAAACCAGGGACACTGTCCATTTAGAATCAGTGTAGGGAATGTAAATTGCCACTGACCCAGCAAGTCACCAGGTACACTGGGGCAGACCCTCTTATAGTTTACTTCACTTAAATCATTCATTGGTAAACTTTAGAATTAGATCACGAGACTCAACTCTTCCTACCCAACTCCACACTGTCAGATGCTGTAAACTACTTTATTTTTAAATGGTACCTTAAACATTTTTAAATACACAGTCCTTGATATAAATTATACACAGTGAGGTGGGGCGGATGATGACAGCTTGTTTGGATGTGTTTAGTGAGAGCATGTGTGTTTTACTCCTTAACCTGTCAGGCATCTATCACTGCTATACCCATGCTGTGTGATTATTTGTAGTATAATAAAGAGTGTGTTGTAATGTTCAAACATCACACACGAGAATGACCAGCAGTTCCCCTCCATGATTAACGTCATATATTAGTGTTATTCAGTATATTGTTGTTTACAGGAACAAGTACAAGGACACACTGGGTTTTTTTAGTATTTAATTTTGAAGGGATAAGACTCTTACAACACCTCCTCAAACCTAATTTTGTTTCAGCTTCAACCGTTTAACTGAGGAGTACTACAAGACTCAGTCCTGGCCTGAAGTGGAGGATTTGTATGGCAACAAGTTAGTAGAACAAGATGGCCGGGATGACATATTCCTGATACTCTACAGAGAGTTGTACTATCGTCATATATATGCCAGAGTACAGGGAGGACCCACAATACCTCAGCGTTTTGAGTCCTACTACAACTACTGTAATCTCTTCAACTACATCCTCAGTAAGGGGTTCTTGTGCTCTTGTCTAGTGTTGGTGTGTTACCAGTTCACATATTCTAGACCTTTTTAATTTTGGGGGGCTGAAATATTTGTTTTGTACAATGACTGACAACATTTCAGAATTACATGAGCAGCCATCTTGGAATACTAGCATCACAAATTTCTAGCTGCCAATTTGAAGATAATATTTTGGAACCTTTGAACATTTCCACCACAGGCACAAATATTTTACAGTTTTCATATTTACTGTCGTTGAGGTGTTTAAGAATGCAACTTTGGATTATACTGTTTAATGATATAATTGTTCCAGAAATTTGTACGTAATTGTTTTATTTACTTGGCAGGTGCTGAGACTCCTGTGCCCATGGAATTGCCCAACCAGTGGCTGTGGGAGATCATTGATGAGTTCATTTACCAGTTCCAGTCATTCTCTCAGTTTAGATCCAAACTTGGCAAGAAGAGTGAGCCAGAGATTGAGATGCTGAAGGAATCCCCCAAGATTTGGAATGTTCACTCAGTACTCAATGTCCTGCACTGCCTTGTTGATAAATCAAACATCAACAGGCAACTTGAGGTGAGCATTTAATTCATGTAAAGTTATTTGTTCAAGTTAGATTACAGTTCATAACATAAATATAAGGTAGGTGGCAGGAAGGAAAGGGGAAGACCAAAGAGACGAGAGGGTAAGGGGACATACTTAGAGTGAAGTTGATTTACAGTGAGGACATTCGGTATACATTACAGTACAGGAAATGAGTAGTGGGAGAGCTTCATTTCGAGTGTTTCATAAGGATGCCACAGTAGTTTGAGTGATGGTCTATAAGGTGTAAGTCTGTCTCTCTTCGTTATTCCAGCGACCCTGTAGTATAATAGTCAGTCATTTGCTTTTGTTTGTTATGTTGACAGGTCTACACAAGTGGCGGAGATCCTGACAGTGTGGCGGGAGAGTTTGGTCGCCATCCACTGTACAAGATGTTGGGCTACTTCTCTTTAATTGGACTTCTGCGGCTTCACTCACTCCTTGGTGACTACTATCAAGCTATCAAGGTAATGGTGTACTCCAGCTTTCTGTTCAAATTAATGTTTTTGTGTGTTAGTTTTCTAAAACAAAAGTGTATTTTGGAAAATGTATAAGTAGTAGTCATATTGTGAATAAATAAACCCCTGGATTTCAACAAAAATAATTCGTTTGTGTTTTTTAAACTGTCTGAATTACTCACCTGGGTTGTTGAAGAAAACCCTCACTAACTCGATAAAATATCTGAATTCGCACACCATAATTTAACGAGTTGGAGGGATTCAAGTCTATTTTTGGCCCAATTGATCTGTCTAATTGGTGAATTATATTGTCCTATGACAATGGATCAATTGCTTTGTGAAGTTGAACATGTTGGATCTAAGGTGGTCATTCACAGTAGCCTGCAGCTACAAAATGTTATTTCCTATTGTAATCCTTAATTTTTAATTAAGAAAATGACTTGAGGCATTTTAAAGACTTAACATCAACTGAGGAGAAGGCAAGATATTATCTGGTGTTTCTAAAAGGATTCTGAGGTATTTCTTCTTTCAGGTTCTGGAAAACATTGAATTAAATAAGAAGTCCATGTACTCACGTGTGCCAGCCTGCCAGATCACAACCTATTATTACGTTGGGTTTGCGTACATGATGATGCGACGTTACGCTGATGCTATCCGCACGTTCTCCAACATTCTGGTGTATATCCAACGTACAAAAGCCATGTTCCAGACCAGGAACTACCAGAATGACCAAATCAATAAACAGGTAGGAGCTTTCTGTAGCTGTTTTATATATTATGAGAACTGCCTTTTTATGTCCACACCAGATGACTGGAAGAAGAGTCTGACTACTTTTATCTCTTTGACAGACTGAACAGATGTACACACTTCTGTCCATCTGCATGGTGCTTCACCCACAGAGGATTGATGAGGCAGTTCAGTCTTCCCTGAGGGAGAAAGCTCTTGCTGAGAAAATGGCTCGCATGTCGGTAGGTATTGTTACACATTGAGTTATATACTTTACTGTAAGTTATTGGATGAGGTGATGGCTCAGATATGTTAAGTCAGTAAAATACTGTACTATACTGTAGGTAAAAAACATCATCCAACAGCCTGTCTACAACTATCTAGTCATCGTGTAATGCCCGTCGGGCAACCACGTTCACATACAACACAGTTTTATTAAAAGGCTTCAGTAGATGGACCATATAATTAAATACACATCATTGCTAGTCTTACAAAGACCATAAATTTAGATAAACTGAATCAAAGAAACTGAAAGATTAATCTTTTGATCACAGGCCATCGATGAACATGCAGTAGTTTCCATAAGCACACACAATTCCAATGACATATCCCATTTGCTATAGGTACGATGATCAGAGGTGGATTACATTATTCCCTTGAACACTGCCCTTGCTGTAAAACAAACATTTCTCACCAGGCTTCACCTTAATCCTCTAATAGTATCCATTAGCAGTGTGATTGCATTAAAAGAGCTAGTAAGTTTTTGAGACAGGAACTGAAGCTCTCAACCAATCTCAGTACCTCATAACCCTCACCCACAAGTATCATAGAGATCTTACTTTACTGTGTTTCTTCAATGGGCCAATCACTAACCAAAAGCCTTTATTACACTTCATCTCACAATCTATCAGTGTACCCAAACTCATCCTCTGCAAATGTTAAAACCTTTTATGATTTATGTCGTTGTTTCATGAAAGGTACAGATATCACTGTTTTGTATTTGAGTCTAACAGTCTATAGCATTCAATAAGAAGTTCCATTGGAGGGGAAGTATTTGCATTCCTTATTTTATATTTTTATTGTATGTAGTTTTGGTTCATCTGAAGTTTAATGTCATATTTGCAGCGAGGTGATGCTCAAGAGTTCACACAGTGTTTCACATTTGCCTGCCCTAAGTTCTTGAGTCCTGTGCCTCCACCTTTTGACACAACAGCAGCCAATCTCCACAAGGAACCTTTCCAGCAACAGCTTAAGGTAAGTCTCAAATTCGATTTAACAGAGTTTATAACTACCATATTTTGACGAATATAAGCTGCACTTTTTTCCTTATGAATTTGGCAAAGGTAGTGGCACGGCTTATGACCAGATGTGAATTTTAGTAATGCCTCAAAAATAAAGTATTGTGTGAGTAGATGAGTATGATGTAGTGCAGTGGCCCCCAACCTGTGGTGCCTGCAGAACCATATGAACCCCACAAGGATTTATTAGAAAATTGTGAATTATTTGAGATTCTTTGTAAGTGAAATTCATGAAAATATGTAATAACTTGATACAACTGTCGTGTACAGGTTAGGTGTATTTACCCCAGACCGGGCCCAGAGAGAGAGAATCGGCCTTCTCACGGGGGTAAATACACACGTCCTGTCCAAGAGTAAATGTAAAAAGTATTTAACTGGTAACAGTTAGATGTGTAAAACTGCAAATAACTGGACAGTACTGTAGATATGATTTTTTTTTCTTGAATGTAGATCCTAAGTCATGGCACCCTCCACTATGTTTACAATGATAAGTGTGGCCCAGAGCCTATAAAAATTTGGGGACCATTGATGTAGTGGATATATATATATATATGTGTGTGTGTGTGGTACTTGCAGGTGTTCATGGACGAAGTTCAGCAGCAACAGCAGATCAGTGTGATGAGATCCTACTTGAAATTGTATACTACTATGCCTATGGAGAAGATGGCTGCCTTCCAAGAGATGAGTGAGGACGATTTTCGTAATGCACTTCTGTGTTTTAAGCACAAGATGCGCAACATGGTGTGGACTAAGGGCACCTCTGGCCTGCAGGGAGACTTCCAGAGTGACTCTGAGGTGAGAAAGAGGGATGAAAATTTTATAAGATTTTGCTTATTATTACCCTTAAGCCTTCTTTTGCTTTCAATGTCTTTTTCCCATTTTTAGAGACAAGTTACTGGGATCCTCCTTTATGTACACAACATTGTCGTGTACTCTGTGAAATGTTTCATTCATTTGGTTTACTTATATGTATCCTGTCACACCACTCAAACCCCCACAAAACATCATCTGCCATTGTTCCATAAATTATTGATATAATAACATTGTTTGTTGTTTTATAAAACAAGTGACCGTCAAAATGAGTTTATAGTAATTATGCGGTAAACTCTAGTTAACTTGGCATTCGATATCTTGCAGTTTCACATAAAGGTCTCGGAATTTATTATAACATAACTCGGGGAATGCCGAGTTGTATGAAATTATCTGGAAAAATCTCGGCATATTTGGCCACACTGCACTCCATGCTTGGTCAGTCTGGTGTTTGTTATTGTTGTAGTCGGGTGCATACTGGCTCACTCCACCAACGTGGGAAGGGAGGGTACTGTAGCACCCCAATATTTAGGTTATAAAGTACTATACATTGCAAGGCTAGAGCCCTATACATGCCGAGTTATCAAGATTTTTCTGTAAATACAATAGGGATACAAAGAAATGAGTCACTGGCATATCCACAGTTTCCCACATACAAGGTAATGGGGGCTACCGACATGACACACGACCGAATATTTTAGTTCAGAATATTTCGTCCATTTTGCTGAATATACATGATACACCAGATACGACACCTGCTCCCTTATCCTAAAAAGATTACCATATTTTATATTTCATTCATCAACAGGTTGACTTCTTCATTGATGGAAATATGATCCACATCGCAGACACCAAGGTTGCCCAGCGCTATGGAGATTTCTTCATCCGTCAAATCCATAAACTGGAGGAAGTCAATCGTTCTCTTTCAAAAGTTAAGGTTTAAGAAGAAATTAAGATACTGTATCTGTCTGCATCTAAGAAGACCTTTATGGGATATTTATCTTTTGTTGCAATTTTGAATATGCTAACAGTTGAAGAATTACATATTTAATGCACAAATAATGAATGTGTTGTGCTAAAGGTGTAACCAAAATTTGTTTCGAAATTATAAAATATCTATTTTATTCCATTTTTATCACATGTAAAAGGTCTTTTTGTAATGGGATGAAGAATGTTCATGTTTTTCGGTAAAAAGAAATTGAAAGATATATCAAAGCTCTTGTGTTATTTCACTTTGTATATTTTAAATACACTATTTTTAATTTAAATTGAGCCATGGAATGTAATACATAGTGGTTTCTGATATTAAAGCCTCTAGACAAGAAACAGTGTGGGACCCAGGAAAGTTAACTAAAGTAAAAAGTTAGTGGAAGGGCAAATTGCATTTTTAATAATAATGACAAAAAATACCATATTTTTTAATGATCAAAAATGACAATGATATATTAATAATATTTCTATGCTTTAAATTATTTCATTATCATTCCATTGAGAAAATAATACTGTAAAAAGTTTTTAAAACAAAACACATTCATCGTGTTTGTTGTTAAAGAACAGGGTGCAGGGAAGCTGTTTTTCTGATATTCTATAATTTGGATTGTGGTGGACAGCACTGGATGGGCAGCTACCTCCAGATCAGTTTGGGAGTCATTACAACACTTGCTTAGTACTGTGAATATCATCCTATCATATCCAAAATGCATTGTATGCATTTCCCTTCTTCATAAATATATTTGTGCTCAAGGCAAGACTTATTTTGGATGGATTTTGGATTCATAGAAAAATGTTCAATGTAATCTTTGAAAATTTTCCTGCCAAAGAAAACAAAGAAGCTGCATCAAAGGAGATCACAATATAGTGGGCTCTACCTCCTACAGTACTGGAGGCCAAAAATGGAAACCATCCCACTGTCTGATGCAACTTTCAATATACTGTACCTGTGCAGTACAGTACTTCATATTCTGCAGTTCTATTTAACAATAATATAGATCTGCAATGCATGTACAGTACAGTAACTTATATTTCATTACAATGTACAGTTGTATTATGTTATCAAGGAGTTTCTTGTGCAGTATATGACAGAAAAATCTCTATAATTCAGAACAATAGGGCCTAAACTTTCCATAAAATCGATGTTTATCAAGTACAACAATAAACAAAGAATCAATTAAGTACGATGAACACGTATATTGTATGATAATACACCTCCTTCAGTAGTGTTATTACTGTATAAATACAGAACACATACAATACTACTAAATAAATGTAAATGATTCAGGAGAGAACACACAATGCATTACTATACTGGATGTAACAATGAGCTGGAAAATGTTATATTACAGCTCGGCTTATCTGTGTCGGGGGAGTTCATGGTCAAACTGATGATAGACTGAGAAAGACAAGCTGAACCACTGTATGTGATATGGGTGCACTGACCCAGATTTACGGGTCTGTTATTCACACATCACATTTTCTGACAGAGGGAGAAATCTTCCAACAAACTCCTTTGTGAGTCTTGGTGAGGGAGGCAGTCGTTCTCCCACTAGCTACGCCACTGAAGAGATGCGTCTCATTACCATTAGTATAGTAAAAGGCAAATAAAAGTCAAATACTGTATAACTATACTGTATATTACATTCAATATACCACACAGAATATATCTAGGAATTTTACAAAAATCAGGCACATGTGGAAGTCATGAAATAAATACTTGCTTGTTCTGACATTTAACCAAGCAAGCTAAAAGTCGAAAATAAATAAACTTTACCCCAAAAATATTATCTCATTTTGTCAATACTAGAGGTAATAGTTCTTACACCACAATTCTAATAAGCTTTTTGATATATTTTCCTTACTTGTACTGACAAGAATCATAAATTTTCTTGCAAGAAGTGGTGGCCAGTGAAATGAATGTGAACAGAAGACTTCATATATTCTTTGGAAGGTTCATAACACAAAACTGGGCAATGGGATAAATAAATAAATAGACGTTTCCTCATCACATAATAAACAATGTAAGTAAGTGACGTCAGAACTAGGAAGACTTGTATTACAGTATATTAGAGCACCATTGGTTGTATAAATGTATCTAATACCTACAATTGTCATTTACAGTCAAAATTTCATTATAAAAAGAACTGTAAAACAATAGAAAAATTTAGGCTATACATTATCTGTTTCGTCTTTCCAGAAACATTCAATACAAATTTTTTCTTTGCTATAATACAATAGTGGTTTGTAAGAGTTAATCATTTGAGCCCTGCTTGTTACTGCTCTCCTCAACATACAGCTGCATCTTGCACACTTCTGTCCTGAGGGTCTTGAGAGGAACAATGTGTGGGTCATGCACCTCTGTCTGTTCCTTCTCAGCTTCTACCCAAGGAAACTCCTGTCAAGGCAACAAGTGTGATTAAAGTGATCTACTCTTGATAATCAACACTTACTTTGTGAATAAAGCAATATAATACTTATCAACCAATTAAAGGTTAAAATGAGGAACAACAAAGAGAGAGAAAATCTGACAAAGACCTTCAGGTACTGTATATGACAAGAGGTGGTGCATCAAACAGAAAGGTGTCATCTTCATACCTGGTGCTGAGGCTCTGTACTCAAGGATGTTGGAACATGTTCAGGAACTTGGATATGAACAGCAAAAGAACAACCCGGGGGAAGTGGTTGCAAGAGTGAGTCACTAATGCTCAACTTGAGACAAAAAGCTCGCAAGGCCTCTTCCATCCGTAACAACTGTGGGTCTTGCCTGTAGGATCAGTTGACAAACATGAGTACAAACACAATTATTTAGGTGGTAACATCATATGAAAGACCTTTTTCCATATTAGTCTTAAAAGTTTACATGAAAGCAAGTTCTACACAAAGATCTTGCAGGTTCCTAAATTAGTTGATTCTGGAGTCAGTGCTTACATGTTAGGTCCCTACTGTATTCCTGGGTGATAATGATACAGTGTCCGAAAATTAATACTGGTACATTTAGTAAGGTAATGTCTTCCAGATTTTTGTGGCAATCATGTGAACACTTCTATTACATCAGTAACATTGTCCTGACTTGTGGGAGACCTCAACATCAACACATAAGACTATGTTGCCCTTATATTACAAGCATTCACAAAATCTCCACAAAAATCTGTAAGGCCGGTGTGTATATTTTTCTGAGGCACCCTGCATAATACAGACAACGCTTAACACATACTTGATGTCATGAGGTTTAGTTGGCTGCTGTACAATTTCAAAAACAAACTTCTCAACAGGAACTCCCTCAGTTGACAACACGGCAACTATAACTTTTTCTACTTCGCCCTTCTCCAGCACTGGTCGTATTGAGCCGACACACTCACTGATGTATGACCGCAGACCGGGATGGATACACATCTGAGGAAGATAGTTTACATAAGTTAATATAACTTACTGTATTAACTTTAATTAAACTTTAGTGCATTTATACAAAGACGTAATGAAAACCTACAATTAACTTGAACCTGTATAATGACTCCACCCTGACTGATAAAGTACATTTTTAAGAATTTTTTTCTTGACAATTTCCACTGATTTCATCAAATTCTTGTAAATTGGTCAGTTCTTTGTCATGACATTTATTGTCCAGTGTTACTACAGGAGTTAACTGGAGTACTCCTCTCACATCTGTCTCAGGGTGGGGATTAAACCCAGGACACGGTTATGAGAGATACGTATATTACCGCCGTACTAAAAACACCTGTAATTAATCCTAAAAATAGGTTTGTACATTTAATGCAGGACAAACAATCTCTACAGGCTAACACAAAAAGTCCTAAATTAATATATTTCATTAAGTTTCACCTGAACAGGAATGCTGTATTTTTTTCTTCTTTGGAACACAGACTGTGGGTAAATCTCTCTGGTGTACAGGATCAAGTTAATAGCCACCTCCAGCAACTCCACCACAATATCAGACGACACTGTAACAGAATTAAAAGATGCCGGTGAAAACTATGAGCAAAGTGGCGAGTTGTTTCTGGTGACGGATGTGATGCTGATGAGTGATGCTGGGTTGTGAGTGACCAAAATAAACCAGGTAGAGTACAGTACAACAGATACTTGGAGCCATTTTGTGGAAGGAAAATGACTGACTGACTGACTGATTAATGGAAGAATTTGCACTTGCCATCAACTCCAGCCGGCCTAAATTATTGAGAAAATTAACTTTAACCGTACATTTTACAATCACAAAACCAAGGTCGTACTGTACTTTATATATACACTATAATATATAATTAAAATGTTTTACTGATTCTTTATGACAACAAACACTTTTATTACCAGAAAAATCCATGACTGTTTAGCTTGTGGTTAATCTAATTCAACACAGAGGGCCATCCTTCCCGATGACGAGCACCGGCGGCTGGGTCAGGGTGGCTCAGCTTGGCTACATTGTTCAGCCATCCATCTGAAGTAAGAATTCACTCGTACACAGTAAGAACTGAGGTTTGGGAACAATTAGGTCTTTGTACGGTAAATTATAGAACATGTGTACCTCTATAATCTGGGTTTTTTTTTTAAGGGGTCTTTACTAAATTGTTTGGTTAGATTAGGTTTGGTTGGTTAGGTTAGGTTACATTTGGTTATGATAAATTTAGTTTAGTTAGGTTAGCTTTGGTTAGGTTATATTTAGTTATGATAAATTTGGTTTAGTTAGGTTAGATTAGGTTTGGTTGGATAGGTTAGGTTATATTTGGTTATGATAAATTTGGTTTAGTTAGGTTAGATTAGGTTTGGTTGGTTAGGTTAGGTTTGACAAAGGTGTGAAGGGAGGATGGGGGAAATAAATTCAGTGTTAGTGGTACCCATAACTAGTGCATCTTAACAAGTCTTACATGGTTCACTTTCTCTAATAACACCTATCATATTACCTATATCTTGCCATTAATCATATATTTTATTTTACTCAACCAATATATATTTAAAAGGGTTGTTTGACCGACCTTAACTAACACTGACCTCAAATGGTTCAACTAAGACGGGGGTGATGGAGGTCCAATATTACTCCTTTATTTATCTCATTTAACACATTTCTCCCATATAACTACGCCCTTCCATGGTAATAGTAGTTAGTGAACACCAAAAGATAATAAAACCTCTTGTTGTTATTAATAGACAAACAACAAATCCGGATTTTATTAAACTTTTTTTTTTATGGATTTATCTAACTGTTTTTGGTCTATGGTTGATTATCAGTATTGGTGGTGGTTTGTTTTAAGTTTTCTCCAGGTTGTTAAGTGGTTAATACGGTCGTTAACTAGTGAATTAGACTTTATTCTCTTGGTTGTTAACACTCTCCATAGTCTTGGGTCCCGAGGCCTCTAAAGGAGTGTAAATATAAAATCAATATTACTCATCAATGGATATTATTACTTCTTAAACTTAAAATTAACACTAATATATTCCATTAAATACTACATAATTATTAATATGATTTTTATTTAATACATGATTTTGAAAGTATAAAGTTATCTACATAATTATACTACAAATATATTTTTTAATTTTTATGATCCTCTTCTAGTTTAATTAAAATAATATATTAATTGATTAAGAATATATATTAAACAAGAGGGTAAAGATGTGTTTATTAACAGTATAATGACTTAAAGTTTGTTATCATTATGTAAGAGATTAGGTGTATAAAGTTCTTGGTGACCAGAGAGGGAGGAGGACGCAGGCAGCCGGTGACTCTCTATTAACACTCTTATTACAACCATATTAACACACTACTGACGCTTATATTGTCAAGGAACTAATAATATAAGGTAAGGCAGTCATTGTATATGTTTTTAATATATAATAATGACGAATAAAGAATAAAACGGGATGGATGCTCAGGAATGTCTCTCCACTCCTCGCCATTTCAGGAACCATCAAGAGTCATGTAGAATAAAAGTTTACGTAGTTATTAAATCTATTCTTATTTACAGTGTATAGGTTTTATATTTCTTGTGTGTGTAAGGGATTATGTGTAATGTTTTATTGGAGGTTTGTTATAGGGCTGTAGTGGGTGGTGGTGTGACATAATTCATTAGTCTCTTATTAATTCATGGGTTTTTTGAGTATTTTTTTCTATTCGCTAAATGTCATTGTGTGAATTATGTAAATCTGGTGATGTAGGAATAGAAAAATTATTGATTTAGTAGAGTACAATCACAGAACTCTATATTGATTTCTAGAGTGATAAATGGTGTTGGTGGTCGAGGGGTGTAATGCGGTCTGACTAATTACCCAAATGTAGCCGGAATGAAGTCAAATAATGGTCCTAGATGAATAAATCGGACTGCTAATCATTTCTCGACTAGTATTTGGTGTCACAAAGTCACAAAAAATTGGAAAACTTAATTTAATCTGAGTTACTAGATCAAGTGCATGTACCTAACCTAACCTAATCTAATCTAATCTAATCTAACCTAACTTAACCTAACCTAACACAATTCAGATTAAATTAAGTTTACCAATTTTTTTTTACTTTATGACACCAAATACTAGTCGAGAAGTGATTGGCAGTCCGATTTATTCATCTAGGACCATTATTTGACTTCATTGCGACTACATTTGGGTAATTCCTCGCTCCGTCGGTACATGCACGCGATCTATTAACTCAGATTAAAGTAAGTTTTCCAATTTTTTTGTGACTTTCTGACACCAAATACTAGTCGAGAAGTGATTGGCAGTCCGATTTATTCATCTAGAACCATTATTTGACTTCATTCCTGCTACATTTGGCTACATTTGGGTAATTAGTCGGACCTGAAAAAAGGTGTTGGTGGTCGAGTGGTTCTGTGCTTATCTCTCACCATTATGTCGGGGGTTCGAATCCTGCCTGGTCTAGACACACTGGATAGATCAAATGCCCCCCGAACGGCTTGTAAGGTGATAAATGGTGAAAAAAATAAAAGTAAAGATTCAGAAAAAGTCTACCACTACACATTTTGATTCTTCTCAGCACTTGGGTATATGGAAAGTGCTTGGGTCAGGGCAGGCTAGTGGGCTTTTGTCCCGAGTTATGGATAACATTATATGTCATGGAATATTCAAAAGGGTCTCTATTCTGGTTGATTGTTAATAATCTGTACTAAATTCTAGATCATAAACCTGTACTGTATTTTTTAATGGTTTGGTGAGTACAGTATTTTTATTTTATTTTTATTATTTTTCAGGATGCCTCCCAACAAGAAAAGGTTTCAGCCCAATTCCGGTGGCGGCGGTGGTGGCATGAACCGGTCAAGGTACTATTAGCATTTTTATTTTTATTTAATTGTTTAAATATGTAGCTGTACTGTCATAGCTGTCCTTTTAGAGAGCAGCTGCTGAAGGGAGTGAAGCTTTGTAGACTAGCTGAAGTCCGGTGTCCTGACTGTCTCTGTAGTACTGGTTATATTTAGCTGCAGGGAAGTTAGTATAGATTGTAAACCTTTTAAAAGATTTGTGTTGTCAGTATTACAAGATGTTGACTTTGGTGCTATGTATGCAGTGTACAGTATATACAGTAGTAGTAAAAAAAGGAGAGAAACTTATTAGATATTGAGGAAGGCCAAGTGTATTGTTTAGGGATTTTTTATATGATAAATGGAAACTGTGTGGAGAGTCTGATGCCAAAAGGTCTTAATATATTACTGTACTGTATTACTATTTTACCGAGTTTAAATAATTAAAACTTTAAAAAAATGCAAGTACACATTCTGTCAGATTTGCACAAGTGTAATTTTAAAGTTTAAATTTTTTATTTTTTGTTTTTTATATGACATAAAAAGTGTTTTAAGTTGACTTGTATTTTAACAGAGGTGGCGGCGGTCTTGGATACAGAGGTGGCGGTAACAAGGGCCGGGCAGGTTATGGTCGGGGAGACAGATATAACCAGGGTGATGGTTATGGCCACAGCTACGGAGGGGGAAGTTCTGGAGACTATGGTGGCAGGTAATACATCTGTGTGTAAGGTCACTGGGTGCCAGGTAACCCTCACATTCAACTGGCACCAAAATGAAATAATAAAAATCTCCCCCAAATTGGCTTGAATCATAAGTTTGAATACCACGGTGATGAGCTGTAATATTTATTGCTATGGTAAACAATAAAATTTATAGCATATCATAAAATACAATAGTGCATATTATTAGTAAAAAAAAATTGCTCCTTCCACACAACAACCATCCTTCATACTAAGTAGGATAAAAGTCTCAAGTATGAGGTGTCACTCTAGGTACAACAACTGTTTAGGTCTTTATGTTGTGACAGACTAACATGGATGCCATCCCCCCAAATTATCCTGGATTCTAATGCTATTTCATACATAAATGAGTATTTCTGCTTTATCACTTGTTAAACTTGCAGGCATGGTGGCCAGATGTTGAACCCTTGGGAGAGTGGAGTAGTTCCCATGGCAAACAGTGGGAACGTGAGTCATGGGGGTTATATGCCCCATGGTGGAGGTGGTGGTGGAGGTGGTGGAAGCCTTCTGGGAGAGTTCAGAGGATCGTCAGACATAGTTGGCTCCATTAATCACCTCAGTCAAATGAATAATCCTGAATCAAAGCTTGCATTAAATATCCTGAATGCAGTTTTGTCAAAAGTAAGTACAGGTATATTGAATAGTTTATTATTGCATATTATTTATATTTGTGTGCGTGTGTACCCGTTGTACTGCTTTTTAGCCCACATAATGGATGGGTATGGTTGTATGGTTATCATAAGCTCCCGTAACCCCTCTGAGCTGAATTGAATTGTCTGGCATTAGTCAAATAGAATATTAAAAGTTGCATTCCTGTAGTGAAGGGGTTAATCCAATTATTTTAATTATTATTATCATACCCTTCTCTAACCCTAACTCTCAACAACTATTAGATTTATCAGCTCAGTAATTCTCATCGTTGTGAATTTGAGGCACACTGTGGTAAATGATATACTTCCAGGGCCAATGAGGACAGACACTGACCTAACAGATGGTAATACCAACTTTACAAAAGGATATTCTGTACAAATTTGTTATGTTGTTCTTAAATTCATGGGTTTTGTTATTGTTAAACATTGATCTTGTACTATTGTAACTATTGATTAAGACTTAAGATCCTAGTAGGTGATGGTAAATCATGATCCTAAAAGTCTTGCTCAACCTGGGCCCTATCCATCAACCCTCTGCCAGTTCTCTTTACGTAGAAATGACTGTGTTAAGCTGTGCACATAAAAGTTTATGGTCGACTGTTTATATGGCAAAATAAATGGCATATTTGGAAATATAATGAATTTTGTAAGCTTCTCTGGTGGGAAGTTATTAGAAATACAGTAGCTATTGTATAACTGTTGAATACCTGCCAAGTTAAGTTTGGAACCCTGAGATGTGGGTTGTAAGATGTGTGAGGTGAGAGAGGGTGTGGAAACACTACACTGGGTATTTGGTGCATAAACAGCAAAGTTGTTTGCAATTTTAAATATAAAAAAATAATCTTTCACACTTAAGTAAGATTAGAATGTGTATCTGGAAGTGACAAGTAATTTTGTATCTGGCATTAATCACTTTTAAACAATCTTGGAAAATTAGGATGAAGGTCATCAGAGTGGCTGGAATAGTGGACCTCCAGTCAATAAAAGGAGGCGTATGGATATGGTAAGTAGAAAACACACTTGTCTGTATTTTGTATGGTAACTCACAATTTTTTTTTTTATAATTAAATCTGTAAGACATCTGGTAGTGAAATAGGTTGTAACCTTATGTTTGGTCTTACCCAGATATACCTTAATCTCAACAGGCTGAAGAGTCATTGACTTTCAATCACTGCTACTGTAGTATAAGATTAGAGTTTGCTTGTATGACCCTTGGTCTGAGCTGAGAAGTTGCTGCCTTGTCAACACTTCAGATAACCTTGATGAAAACACTTCATTGACTGACTGTAATTGAATTGAGATAACCAGACAATGGTGTTTGTGTCTTGCATTCACAGTATTTAAATAGATGGGTTTGTATTAATTAAATGATAAATTTGGGAGAGATTTGAGAAAAAATCCTTAAGCTAAACAAAAATATACTAGTTGGTTGTTTTAGCTGCACTTGTGAATGGGAAGTGGCATTTAATCCATGTATTTGGGCAAATTGCCTCCTTTAGTTTTTCAACTTGAATCAGTTGTTATTGTAAGGGGTCATAATTTATGTTTAGAATATTTCCTTTTAAGTGGGAATGTTGACAGTTCAGAATCTTATGAAACCTCAGGCTAAATTATGCCTCAAGGTAATGGTTCTGTTGCTGGGTGTTATTTCAGAGGTGCAAATCTCTTTTGCCAGCAGTATGATCAGATATGTGATGGTTCTTAAACTATCGATTTTCTGAATATTAAATTTTACAAGGTTCTGATGGGATATTATCCAAGCATTAATCCTGTATATCCCAGTATGAGCAGGTAATCCCATTAACATGGGGGATTTTTTCAAGGTTATTCTTAACCTTGAATTGGTGTGTGGTAACTCCTCCTTTTTAGTTACTGCTTTGAATCTCTAGCCCTATTCAGGCTTACATGTTTACCCATGTTGAATGATTGGGTCATATATGGTGATTCAAGCACTGTGGGAAGGATTCCTGTGTTCAGGATAAGCCTGCAGGGCACTTAATATCTTATGTTGTGACTGAGAGGCAAGTGTCTCCAACAGGATGGGGGTTATGATAGCCACCGAGGGCAGACATATGCTCCCCCAATGCATCATCAGGTCCAGGTCCACAAGTTTCCTCAGCAAGATCAGCAGTTCGGCCCTCGTCGGGCTGGCAACTTTGCATCTCCCCGCCGTGGCAGGGGCGGCCGTTTCATTGGCCAAGCTGGTCGTCAGATGACGACACAGCAACAGTTTAGGAAGACAGTAACTGTCAAGAAGGGAAAGCCTATCAATAATAAGGGCAATGCCAAGGTCCAAAAGAAGAAAGGTGAGACAGCATCAGGAGCAGCAACTGGGACAGCTGGTGGTCAGAAAGGAGATAAAACTGAGGGTGGTGGCTCCTCAGCTACAGCTGACCCCAAACAGAGGTAAGCTCTCTTCCTGGAGTGCTGTTAACACTCCTCTAGGACCTGTTCCTTTTGGGATTCCCTTGGCTGACACTAGTACAGTACAGTATATGGGTTGCCTTCACTAATTGATGGAATATTGTGAATATGACCCTTGAAGTTATGCTGATGAATTGCTATGTGGCAGTTAATGTGCATAAATATCTAGCATTCATACTTAAGGATGTATTATACAGTATCACCATGTAACCAAACAATTTGTTTGAATTTGTGTAAGTGATGTAGCTTGACTATTGAAGAATTGTGTAAAGCATGAGCAGATACTAGTGGTGGTGAACTATTTCAATCAGAGAATCTGATTATTTTTAAGCCTGAGACTGGCATGGGATTGGTTGATTGCCATGGCTAATCAATTCTACGATATTACAAGTTAGGTAGATGCTTTTGAGGAAACCTGCTTGCAGTATCTGATTTTAATCTACATTTATACTTGGTATTTTAATTTACAAGAAACTTGGATCAAATGTAAGATCTGCATCTCAACCATATGCCATTCATGTACATAGGGTGTCATAGTGCTGTAATATACTTTATGTTGCACCGAGAATCATTACAAAATATGATAAGACCATTCTTATTTAATTTAGGTTAAATGACACAAAAAGGACCAAAAAAATCCACTGTACTCGAATGGTTCATAACTTAACTTGCTTGGGAATTTAGTTAATAAGGGAGGCTGTCATTTCCATTTCCTTTTCCATTTTTCCAAAATTCATCTCTACAGTGTGAGATCTGTTATTTTTTTTCCCCTTTTCACTTGGCTGTGGCCCCAACCCATGATAAATGGGTTCTGTCCCATGACCAAGCAGGGTTGAAGGAGTGTTACTGTGCTGTGGTGTGCATGGAGCTGGCCACCAGTCATGTGAAAACCCAGGGTTAATCTAAAACTTCTTGTGAAGAGGTTACCATCCCACACAGTGTGGGGAAATGGTACAAGAGATATTATATACTGTATATATTTAAATATATTCCCAGACCTTAGCAACTCTGCTGAAGTTTATTGTACTCATTGTCTATTCACTAACATGATAAATTGTGTTCAACCTTGCCATTTATCATCTGTTGTACACCCCATTGATGTTTGAGCTTAATAAACAGTGTAAAGGTCTGAATATTCAAACAAAGTAAATTTTTTGATCTTAGTATGAGTTGGGTGAGTCTGTTCTTTTTGTATCTTTAATTTTGTTAACAGTAATAATTTTAAGGAATGGTGACAGACGCTCTTCAGTTGTAATCACCTCTTGAGAGGGGAACTCATTTTGGGAGTAAGATGTTGCAGATAAGAAAGATTTAATATGATTAAAGTATTTATTTACTTTATTCCTGTAGCACTGCATCAAATTATTTTATGGGATTGGAAGGCTTTGGGTCAAATGGATTCATCCCAATAGACCTAAACATCAGAATTGGGTTCATGCTGGTTGTGTCCATTAGGATCTAAGTCCCAATTGTGACACTAGGTTTGGTTGGGGCTCAGTTGACTGGTCACTGAATGGAATATGGTTGAAATAGATAGTATAAAAATCTGGCATTATTAGAGCATATTAATACCCATCAGACCCTTGGTTTAAAAAGGTATTAAGTGAGATAGCTTGATGTTGGTCATTCTCTAAAACAGTGGATTGCAGTTTAAAAAGTACATACTATACAGAGACAGTTGGTGGATAGTTAAAGAAGTGTTCTAATGCCTTAAAGGTCTTTTAATTTTAAATTCTTGGGGTCAACTGAAAAATCCTTTTATGGCCTATGGAACCTCACAAGTGCCTTGCAAGATTATGCACTTTTAGTCCCCTGGCAGAACTTACCATTGTTGGGGAACTTGTATTGTATGGCAGTGGGAGGCGTGTTCATGGGGATGAATCCGGATTTATATCTTTTATTTTGTGATTGTGTCTATGAATCATTGGGGGTTCACATCTGTAGTCTAGGTAATAAATAATGTTAGGAATGCATCTCCATGTCAAATACTATATGGCACAATATGTTTTAATTATCCTCTTGTCAACTGATTTGCTGAGTGCATACCTTCTGATACAGCTTATTTTTACTTTTATCTTCAAGTTTAATTAAAAATTATATATTGTATTTTTTCTATTATTTAAGATGTTATATTAATAATGATGATTCATACACCATAAGAGGCTGATCATTCGAGAATATAATATTGGATCCATAAATTAACCTGGTAAATGCGGCATCGCCCGGTCCCTCCTGCCATTCCCAGCATGTTTACACTTAGTAGCTCTTGTCAGGCTTACAGCATATCTCATTAGACCACTGGACAGTATTCAGTGAGCAAGTGTTGTTCTCATAAGCAATATGTACTGTACTCTACATAATTTTACCCATTTCTTAAAACCCTCAAGTATCCTCGTTAAAGACAATATGTACGCTACATAAAAGTTGACGTAAATGAGTGTAGGTAGCAAGGTGCGGTGCATTGATATATATATATATATATATATATATATATATATATATATATATATATATATATATATATATATATATATATATATATATATATATATATATATATATATATATATATATATATATATATATATATATATATCAAGCGTACTAATTTACATTAGTTAGGTAGGTTATTTTGTTGTTTCTGAACCATTTTTTTTGTCGTTGGGAACTGAAACCTATTTTTCTCATATTTTATGTTGATATACGAAAATTGTACGTAGAATAGAGATAGTTTTATAGGAAAAATTAACCATTTGCCGAAAAGTCTATCCAAAGAAATAAAAGATTCAGCATGGCTCTTCCTTGCAAGAAGGTCACAACTAGACCGTGCATTGAAGGGATACTTGTTATAAATAAGGCAGTGTGCAAGTGTTAACCTAACCCATTCATAGAGTGAGGGATACCTGTATAAAGTGTTTTGATCGGCAACTTGGGGAAATTAGCCATGTTAATCATATTATTATGCTTTATTTCTATTAGGAGTGTGCATATTGAGGCAAGATAACCTCTTTTCTGAGTCTGGTTTAAAATACAGTATGATAAATAACCAGTGAGGACGTGTAGGCTTTATAGATGAAGGAGTTGGAATGTGAACCTATGTTTTGAGCAGCTTGAACCTTGTGAGCCTTTCTGAGAGTTATAGACTCCTGGTTTGACTGGATGTGATGACTGCTGGCAGCATAAAATAGCTGTCATCATGGATGATGTGTCCTCCTGCTAAGTATTACAGGTTTGCGAGGAATGGTGATCTACCAGAGGGGCACTTACGGTAGTGGTGATAAATTTTGCAGGCATTTCACCTTGTCCTATTGGCCATGAAACTGGATTTTGTCTTTCATGCCTTCATTCCTACATTAACAGGCATATGATTGACTTTTAATGCTTATCAACAATACATATTATTTGACCTTCGCAGTCTCACTTGAGCGACTAAAGGCAATAATTGAAATTTTCTTGCAGCTAAATGGTCATAAGGAATCAAATAATTGAAAGGCTGTGTCAAAGATGGTACTTTTACAAATCACTGATTTATTCAGAGTTTGTCCTTTAGAAGCTTGAATATAACCTAAAAGCTTAAAAGTTATTAGCTTAATGCTGAAACCCTTTGATCCCCTTTCTCTGATTGATTTCACTCATACATAGATACAAGAATCTTGTAGAGATAATCTGTAAAAAGCTTTCCTGGAGTTTTAAGGCAGTTGCTTAGTTTTTGTAAATGAAGTGCTTATCCTCCAAAGCTACTATTTGACCTTGAAGGGAGAGAGAGAGAGTATGATCTTACCTTTGACCAATTTTGACTTGGGAGTTTCATTTGAAGTTAGTGGGCAATAATCAAAGAAGTAAGTATTAGAGCACAAGTAAAAGTTAAAGAAAATATTTATATATATATATATACAGTATGTATTAAAAACTAACCATATTACAAATTTGGTAATTTTTTTTTTATGTTCATGAAATGATAAAGTATGTGACCTAAAAAGTTTGGGACCAAGAGGCTTCTTTGACAGTGGATAATGTCGTGAACATTGTCCAAGGAAAGTATATAAAATCCTAGTAATTGTGTCAATTTGGCTATGTTCTTAGTTTGTTAAAGTATCTATGCACTAACTTATTTCATTATTCTCTAGCACTCAGTGTTATTATATCTACAAATAAATTTTCAGTGTGTCATCATTCTCCTATTATTACCTTACAATACTCCTTAAACCCACGTGAAGACACCATCACATACTCACTGATCCAACTGCATCGTTGTTCCATTTTCATCATTTACTCTCATGTAATATACACTATGTGTTGCCTACCTCTAGTTCTACCCAGTGAGTTATGTCCAAATATAAATACTTTATTACCAATGAGTCTTTACATGCATGAAATATATATATTGCTCCAGAACTTGTAACTTCAATAATGTTGATATTTGACATTATCCACTTTTTATATTTTCTTAAACATTGACTATGCATTTTATCATTGTAAAAGAGATATAAGTTATTAATGCAAGATTATATTCTCAGTGATGAAGCAGAAAAAGAGGCAGGAAGTGGTGAGGAGAATGCAGCAGAAGGGGAGGCAGGGAAAGATGACCAGAAGACTGATGACAAAACATCTAAGAAAGTAGTAAAAGTAAGGAGTGTGACATCTTTACCTGTGTTGTCCTTCAGCCTCCCATAATCACTCAGGATAAATTGGGTTTGAGTGAATAAAAATGAAGCTTTGGTATAGATAGTGTCTGAAGGTAAACTTAGGAAATAGTAGTGATATTAAGGTAAACTATAGAGGCAGTATTTTCGGGGAAATATATTAAGGTGGTGAAAGAGGAACTAATACTATTATAGGTCAACTAAAGAACAATAAATTATATTTGCAGTTGGGAGGAAATTATTGTTTTATAGAAAGAGTAAGTCCTCTATTTTATACCAGAGATGTGTTCTTGGGATATAAAACTACATTGGTGTTGGTGACAAAACTTAGGTCAAAATTTAGCCAATGCTTAGACTTGAAATTTGTTGTTGCACTCAGAGGGTTAAGTAACCATTAATTGAAACAGTACAGTTTTGAAAGCCAGCATATAATATTTAATTCCCAGGACTGATATATTATTATTTTTCTTAGGATCACTCAACTCCCAAAGAAGCATTGAGGTGTCATTTCTGCCAATTTTACAAGTTCACTTCTATTAAGGTAAGTGGTTTATGATATATTAATTCAGGTGAGTTAGTTTTGTAAAATATTAAACCACTTTATATTATGGAAGTAAGGATTTTTTATTTGTTTCTTACCACTTTCTTTCACTTCAACAAACCATTTATCTCTGTTATTAGGGTGACGAGAATCATTCTTCGTTCAGTAGTAGTATTTCACACATGCCGAGTGTTATTAGATGCATTTCTTTTTACTTATTTAAGCCCTTAACCTCACTCTGTAACCTTCCTCCCTCCTGTCCCTGCTTTGCTTGTGTACATATTTTCTCCTCATTCCCTTCCACATATTTGTACTGTCCCATCTATCTGTGTTAATCAGTGTCAGCTACTTTTTTCCTACTCTGTATTTTGTTCTTAATTGCCTAGTTATTCCTTTTTCATCTTGTTCATTCTGTGCTGTTCTGGGTGTTCCTTTTATTTTGCCTTTGTATACCTTTGTATCAGGCTGAACTCTTCTTCCTAACACACCTTAGTTGATCCTTTAATGCAATTTACAGTGTTTCTCCTGCTATACCGTATATCTTCAAACTAGAAACTTTAGTATTTCCCATCATAGTCTGAGCTTTCATTCTTTTATTTTTAGAAATGCTACTGAAATATTTGATATTATATGCCCTTTATTTTATCTGACCATAATGCACTTTCACTTCTCAAAAATCATCTTTATCAACATTCATATTTGTCTTATTGTTATCATTTAAAATTATGTTAAGGTGTACAATATGGTTGAGCCTCTCTAATGTAGCATACTATGCTGTAGTATTGTTATCCTCACTGAATATTTTTTTTTGTTCTTACAGAGCTTCAGGAATCATCTGGAGAGCAAGAACCATGAACAGATGGAGCGTTCTTTCCATATGAAAGGTGTATCTATTCTTCAGTTCCTGAGGGCTCAGTCCAAGGTGATTAACGCATTTAGTACATTTGTTGAGTTTGTGAATGACGTGGTAAGGTAGTTCTACTTGGCAATACAGTGTAGATAAGGTATATAGTGTTAGCCTTGTTTACCTTCCTGTGCTAAAGTGCACCTTCAAGTTACACAATGTAAGGATATATAATTTGTATTCCATTCAATCACAGCTTATTATACAGATACACCTGTATAGTCTGAATATCTTGGGAACAATGTTATGAAGTCTTTATAATGTATTGAATGCTTCATAATGTTCTGAATGGATCTTAGGCTCATATTTGCAAAGAAACAATTTAATTTAGTATTCACAATGAAACTGTTCATCAGAGTTTTTAATAAAACAAGTTGATGAGCAAAAATTATTATAGCATGAGATTTCAAATATTTCTTTTGAGAGTACAGTAGTTAGAGATAAGAGGCCCACTTCTGATGTATAATGTTTGTTGGCAAGTTGAGATTTATGGTAATTTAATTTTGTTACATTCAAAATGCATATAAGTGTCTGTATTTAATAAGTGGTAAATCTCTCATGTCTTTATTGAACAGTTGGCTGCCCAGAGGAACCTAATGAAGTTACGTAGGAAGGGTACAAATGGACGCATCATGAAGTGTACCAAGTGTCAGTGCCCCTTTATGGGAAGCCTTGCTGAACACACAAAAACTCGAGAACACTCTGTAAGTTTTGTCTATATTAAAAAAAAATAAATTCTCTTATATACTCCCCTCCAAAAAACCCCCCCCAAAAAAACAAGGGTTTTTGCTGACCTTGCCTTGCCTGTATCATTGATTGAGCAATATAGATTGAGAATCAGGTTAAGAAAGGACTCATTGTAATTTGTGATGATAAAATATGTATAGTTTAGAATTCTCAATATTTTGTGTGCATTTTAGCAGATGTCACAGTACAGAGAGTTATTTATCATTTATTTCAGATGGTCAGTAACTACACAAAATGCTCACCGTGTCGTCTCTGGTTTGAGAACAGGATTGAATTGGAAAAACATCGCCTTTCGTTCCTTCACCTGACGGTATGTTATTAATAGGAATCAGTACATATAATCTAATGCATAAAAGGTATTGAATATAACTCTTCTATTTTTATATACTGTACATTTAGTATTCCTAACTTACAGAGAAGATTCCTTAAGATTGTAGACTGCAGAACAACTAATTTTATTAAGTACTATATCGTGATCGTGAAGATAAAACAGAACACTTGCATACTCACCTTTATACAGTATTATGATTTGGTAGATAAAGTAAGAAAACTACAATACAAGACTAAAAAAAAATTAATTTACCTGTTGGAAATAGATTTGTCCATCTTTATTATGTCGTATGCATTTGACAATAGGTATACAAGATGCATCACACATGATCACTACTTTTTTTTATTATTATTAACCTTGTTTATTATATTAGTTTAATTTCATTTATGTATATGTGTTATATATTTGTTTATAATTATCATAGTACTGTATATTATTTGGTGCTTAATGAAATATTGGGTTTTTTTATAATGATCTTTTATCCAAAATGGCTCGGGTACCAAGCATTTCTGGTTTCTGAAGTGTAAACTGGGTATGGACTGTGTCTCTTGCTTCTTCATTGCAGCTTCAAATTGTCACCTAATATTTAGATTGAGATGTCACCTGTTATTTAGCCTGAGATGTAACCCATTATTTGACATCACTCCATATTGGGCTTTTTTAGAGGAGTAAGTGAGTTTAACCGACTGACTCCATAAATTTGATGATGGAAATGCTGATGCTTAATTTGTAATAATTGTGCTTTTTTTAACAGAGGCAGGCAACGATAGACCAGAACAGGTTAGAGAAGGCTATGAAAGCTAAGAAGCCAGAAGAAGCCAAAATTCCTGAACACGGTAATATGTTCTCCATGTACAGTACCTCCATTCTGGTCTCCACAACTTCACTTAGCACTTATAACCTCTGTTTTTATTCTATAAATTTCCAGTTTTTCTCCCATTACTAGCACCAATCAATGTGCTTCAGCATTTGTTTTTCTGTCAGCTTAACTTAATTTTGGTCGTCTACTTTAGCATCCTGTTTCTAGAACTTAAAGCTTCCACCTGATGTCACTGAAATTAATCTGCCTGTTTAAGGAAAACCCAGTTTCTTTGGCTTTTAAGGCAGGTGTTTTGATGGTAATCCTGCATCAGGGTGGGTGTATTATTTAATATTTATGGTGCTTATAATTGAATATAATTTTAGAATAGTAAGATAGGAAATTAAAAAAAAAATGTATAGAAAAATAATATTAATTACAATTCTCTTTGATTCTGCCTTACAGAAACCTTGAAAAAATTACATGTTGCTGTGGAAAGGCTGAGGCTGAACCAAAGACACACTAATGTCTTTAGTACAAATCAAATCCCAATATATGACCCGGGTACACCAATTGGTAAGTTGTGGTGCTGTGTTTCTTAGTATTATTATCCACTAACTCTAAATTACTGTATATTATTCAACCCATTTATTGTGTTAATGATGTTATTATTCTCCTCTCTGGTTTTGTGTGGTGGTCACAACTCCAGAATTTGTATAAGTTACTGTAGAAGTATGTTGATGATCTTAATGGTGAAATACTATACTTGTGTTGACACTATAGATATACTGTATGTAAAGATAAGTTAAAGAATATGAAACATTCCTGGAAATTTAGAGTAGCAGAGTTGACAACAGTATATTAAAGACAGGTTGGGTTGTTGGTGAGTGAATAATGTATTGTACTGTAAAATCATAATGGCTAAAAGTTTTACATATATCTTGTCCTTTTCAGGTATGAACTTCATATTCAAGAAGTCACTTTACTACTGCACTGTATGTTCAAGCAAATCAATACCATTTGCCAATGAGACTCTTGCCCATTTTTCTTCTCAACAACACTATGATAATTATGTTGCCCATCTGAAGGCTGTGGAGGTTAGTTAATTGTTTAACAAATTATACCATTGATAGCTCAGAATTAATTATTATTTTCATGTTATATACTTGTTTTGGCTCATTTTAGTGTGGGTGTTATTCTTTTTAAAGAGTAAACAAGTTTATTTGTGTACATTTATTAATTGTCTTTATCCTAGGAAAAAAAGAGGCTTGAGAAGGCAAAACAAGAAGAAAAAAAGAAGGAAGAAGAAGAAAATGAACAAAAAAACAAAGACAATGAACAAAAAAACAAAGACAATGAACAAAAAAATAAAGAAAATGAACAAAAAAACAAAGAAAACAAAGATGAGGATAAAGATGTAGAAGAAATGGATCAAGATGAAACTGACCAAGATGAAACGGCTCCCAAAGACCAAACCAACGAAGAAGTTGAAGATGTTGACGTTAAGGAGGAGGAAGTTGATGTTAAGGAGGAGGAAGAGCCGGAGGATGTGGAAATGGTAGATGAGGAATTAATTACACCTGTCACAGAAGTCAAAGAAAAAGAAGAAATATGTGATAAGAATGTAACAGAGGAAAAGGTTAGTTACACAGTAATCATAAGTTGTGTGATTAAAAAATAAAAATAAAGGAGATATGTAGCATCTCTTGATAAATGGATGGGTTAGGTTCCTGAAAAGTTGCCCATATCTTGAAACTTATTTTCCCCTAGACTTGACCCATTAGTATTTGTGCCTCTGATCCTGAATCGTTTACTCGAGCAGTGTCTCCCGATAGCACTATTAGACTCGACTCCCATGTGTATGCCATATTAATACTCACTGAACTAACACTTCTCTCAACTGTTTTCACCTCTTTTACTACGTTATTAGTTAAAATACAAAATGGCCATTGACGTCCAACTACTGTATCTCACTCTGTCTTATTCATTTTTTCCATTTCTTTTATTTGTTTAAGGTTGAGGAGTCACAAGAGCCAGAAGAAGAGAACAAAATACCTGAACCTGTTGAAGCCAAAAAAACATCAGAGAAGGAGGTAACAAATGACAGGTGAGTAAGCTGAGTGACTTGGTATCACTTGCATCATAGAGAAATTTGTTGAGTGCACCTTCATCAAGACAGTTTGTCACACCTTTACCATAAAACGCTCTTAAGTCTTGTGTCTTGATCCTTTAAGTGATTTTTTTGTTCAGTTTCTCTCAGGATTACTGGTTGTCTATCAGTTCACAGGTTGATTATATCTGTCCATCCATTTATCCTTATCAATGTTATGTACACATCATATGATTAAGTAATTGGGTGTTGACCAAACTTATACCACAGATGCTTCAAAGTTTTAACCTATATTAGTTTTTGAAGGTCAGAGGTGGAAGGTCAGTGTTACAATGTTAGTACTAATTGTGTATACAGTATCTGAGTGCTGTTGGATAGCATGGCTTTTGACCTAATATTCCCTTCAAAGCAGAACGGGCATGTTTGTGTGCCCCTGTCCGCCCATTCTGATCTTGTGTATGTCGTGACTTGATTGCGTTGCATAGCATAGTGGTAAAAATTTTATAGTTTTCTCTCATTATTGGTTTCATTACTATTTGATTTTACACTTTGAAGGTAGAGAAAGAGTGGGAGAAGTTTGCTTCTGATTTTGGAAAGTCAAGAAGTTTTGTTTACACCACTTTAAATACTGTATTGGTGTAATTTTTAGAGAATAAAAGTGTGAACATGTAGACAAACCAGAGTGGCCTTTCATATATGACTGTGTGCACTCTGTGTAGACTGGCTGATGCTACATTGGAGAAAGTGTCTGGTTAGGGATGCCAGCACATGGAAACAAGCATAAATGGTAATCAGACCAGCATCAGACATACCAGATTCATGCCGATATTTAGTATCCTGATCTGGTGGGTGGTCAGTGTCTGATAAAGTTGATTTCCATTATATTGAGTGTCCTATATACAGGGCTGGTTGATTTAAATTAAATGATAAAGGAAAAAGACACACAAAGCAGTATATGAGGAAAAAATTTAAAATGTAAAAGTTGAAATTGATTAGTGCAGCACAGTACAGTATAGGTAACGCATAATAAACTTCGTAAATTCTACACAATTTTTTCTCAGTGTTGATGAGGCACCAGTTAAAGAGGAAGTTGCTGAGGAAGTGAAACCTCCAGAAGTTGTCGCCACACCTCGGGGTAGAAGGGGAAGAGGAGGGAGAGGAAGGGGCCGTGGGGTGAAAAAATAGAACCCTACATGGATACTTCGCATTGTATGTGAACCAAAGTGTACTGGTAAGTTATATTGTCATGTGTTAACTAAATTTTGCAGACAATTTACTTTAAATATTGTCATGAATGAGAAGATTGCTAAAAGGGCAGCTGAGTATTGAGTATGTATTCAAAATTTTTTGTAGAGTTAGGTTGTGATTAGCATGTGGAGAGAATGGAAGAGATCATTTGGGTCCAAGTACAATGAAACCTCTTATCTTTTTAATGCAAAAGTTGGGCACGCAATTAAATAATGGCTGTTTTCATAAAAGAGACATAACAGTTAAAAGGTTTAGGATTTTTCATGTGTTTATTTAAATCTTTTATCTTCTGTAGTGCTGATCTTGAGGAACAAGCTCTGATGGAAGAGGTTGAAGCTGAAGGATCTTGCAGTACTTCACCCTGAGATGATGCAACTTTTAAAGACAAAAAAAAAGAAAAAACAGAAGGAGAATTTGAGGGCATTGTAGCTGAAAGATTGTTTTTTGTTTTCTGAAGGAGTGGTTTGTTGCTCAATTTTTGAATGAAGGAAAGATTGATTTATTTTCTCCAGGGTCATATATTAAGGAAATGTGTTTTAGCTGGAAATTATCAGTATGATTTAAATAAAATAACTAAAGAAATTATATTAAAACTTTTGCTTTATATCTTTGCATTGATCATAATACATATCCACTTTGATGAGTGAACTGGAGTTACCAAGCCAGTAGTCCTCACCAGAAAGGCAGAGGAATGTTAGTGTAATGTGAAGCACAGCAGAGTATAATTATCGAGATATAAGTATATCGCTTTACATTTGAAATATAGTTCATACAGCCCTGCTTAAAAATTAATATGTATACATGCCTTTATACATACAGTATTTGTAAGATGCACTGTAACCTGATTTTTCAATGATGTACTTTAATATTAAGGGCAGTTCTGATTACACTTGTCTTTAAGATACAGTTTTCACATTTTCAAATATTCTTATTGTCTCAATGTCAAGAAGCAGATGTGTGTGTGTACAAGTTATCTGTGGTAAAGGATATCAACAAGAAAGCATTAATGGCTGAAATTTACTTAAGATCTTTGCAAATTAATTTGATTAGGTAGTCAAACAAGAAATGTGACCCAGTTACAGTACCCTGATCACCTCTTATTTTGGTTCGTCTTGTAATACTTAAATGTGTATCAGAGGGATTCTTTAGTTCTTCCCCATCTGAAGAAGACGAATCATTCAAAGACCTCTCAGAATTTTGATATTTGTTCTCGTTTCTTATTTTAAATGATATATTCTTAACAAAAGCTAGTAAAGTAAAGTCATCTCATTGCCCTCCCCCCCCCCCTTTTTTCAAACCTATAGCTGGAGTTGCTGCACTTGTATGTGTCTATGTTAAAACATTAATTGAAGACTAATAGATTCAGTATTGCTCTTGTTTTGTAACAACTATCCATTGTATTGGGTAAAACATTGAATTTTATATATATATATATATATTCCATAACATAGGCAGATTTAAAATTTTCCCCCATGGCACATTAAAGCATGTGCAGTACATTACATGTATAAATTGCATGATGCTGGATTGATTGAATGTTGGTTAGCATTTCTTGATCAAATGTGACACACTTCTTTTGATTTTGTTCTCATTTTGTTGGTCATTGTTTTGTGGTTAGAAGTTATAAACCATTGACTTCACAATGAGTCAATCAAAATTAATCAGCAAGTGCTAACCAGTATTAAATCAGATTTGTGTTACAGGACTGATGTGCATAAATAAGTTGCCATCATAATTTTGTGTGTAGCTCGGGTGCTACCAAAGACCTGTTTAGATGCTCCCATAATTCCTTTACTTTCATTATTTTTTTTCCACTGTGCTAAATAAATGACAAGTAAAAGAAAAAAGTATTTTTTATCCATATTGTTATCTTCATACAAGCTTTTTCATACAGGGTGGCTTTAATTAAAGGTAACACAGAATATTATATTCTTTGTTGGCATTCATTCTGTAACTGCAGTACAGTACACCTGTACTAAAAGATAAACAGACGATGAGTTCTTGATGTAGGTGATTTTAGTGGAGAGAATGATGACTTATTACAATTTTCATCATAACAATTAGAATGTGTTTTTACGGTATAAATTAGTGATGGATGTCACATCCACTGAGCATCCGCATCTTCGGATTTGCAGAGTTTGGAATTTTTATAATATAAATATTTTATCACACACAGACACATCAACAGTGATGGACTGGCTTATTGGGAGTCGAGACATTTTCTAGGTGGGCCGGTTGGTCTTAGATACCCTGAGTAAACAGACGAGACAACTTCCGACATGTTGTATGGGCCACATATACAGCCATAGTATCAAGGTGGGCCACATTATGGTAGTAATGTCAGGGTAGGCCACATTATGGTAGTTATGTCAGGGTAGGCCACCTTATGGTAGTAATGTCAGGGTAGGCCACATTATGGTAGTAATGTCAGGGTAGGCCACATTATGGTAGTAATGTCAGGGTAGGCCACATTATGGTAGTAATGTCAGGGTAGGCCACATTATGGTTGTAATGTTAGGCCACATTATGGTAGTAATGTCAGGTAGGCCACATTATGGTAGTAATGTCAGGGTAGGCCACATTATGGTAGTAATGTCAGGGGGTAGGCCACATAATGGTAGTAATGTCAGGGTAGGCCACATAATGGTAGTAATGTCAGGGTAGGCCACATATAAAGCTGTAGTATCAAGGTGGGCCACATTATGGTAGTAATGTCAGGTAGGCCACATTATGGTAGTAATGTCAGGTAGGCCACATTATGGTAGTAATGTCAGGGTAGGCCACATTATGGTAGTAATGTCAGGTAGGCCACATTATGGTAGTAATGTCAGGTGAACTACATTATGGTAGTAATGTTGTAGAAATACATTATGGTAGTAATGTCAGGTAGCCACATTATGGTAGTAATGTCAGGGTAGGCCACATTATGTAGTAATGTTGTGCAGGCCACATTATGGTAGTAATGTCAGGGGTAGGCCACATAATGGTAGTAATGTCAGGGTAGGCCACATAATGGTAGTAATGTCAGGGTAGGCCACATAATGGTAGTAATGTCAGGGTAGGCCACATATAAAGCTGTAGTATCAAGGTGGGCCACATTATTTGTTTGTGTTCAGTGTCATCGTTTTACCGTGAATTTGGCGCCAATTTCTCATAACTTGACATGGGAGAATTTGGCCATTTTAGTTTGACAATTAATTTTAAAAATATAAGTTAAATGATAATGAGACACAGCGTTCAATGAAATTAGCTAAATATATTGTTATTAGCATATATTAATGATTACGTTGGCGACTGATATCATGGTTCCTTTTTTCATCATATTCATTTCATTGACTTCTTTATTTTTAATTACGTAACTTGTTTCCAAGTAATCAAAATATTTTATTAAATTGATTTTTAATATCTAACTGATCAACATTTCTTGAGATACGTACATATTTGTATATGATACATTTCCCGCCTTTTTAAGCCTTTGATACTCCCGCCGCAGGAGTTTGAAAGGTTTAAAAAGGCCCAGTGAGTGGCGCGAGTCACTCTACCAGGAGGAGTGGTCGAGGTAATGCACAGGTGAGGCCTCTAGTTACTATTGGATTTTGTATCCATTTTTATCAATTCCAGCATAAATATTGGGAATTAATTTACATGTTTTAAAACTATTGGTGTCTAAATGGGATGTGAAGCTGGTACAGTATTTATATTAAATATACGTAATTTTTTTTTACGGGGATTAGTCCACCCAGCAGGTCACCGGTCCCACATCAGGATCTAGGGGCGAAAATATAATTATAATAATACAAAAATTCTAAAAAAAACAATAATAATGATAACCATAAATACAAAAATGAAAAAGTAAATCAAGAGTGAGAAACGATATACAGTATGTATGTTGTGTTGTTAATAGTAAGGGAAACAATTGAGACCCTGCAATAGTGTAAATGAGGCAGGAAGTCAGATCAGATCAGTTCTGTGGGGGACGAAGATAAGTGGTAGCTAAACTATCCATGTGAAGTGAATTGTGGCTTAAATTTTCTAGACTTATTGAATTTTCTAAACTATATCTGAAAAAACCGGTCGATTAACACCGGTATTTCATGTTCTAGAAGGAAATTTACGCCCATACAATCATTTTAGAGCCTCGGTATTGTATGGAGGAAAATCATATGAACTAGAGTTTATAACATCAGAGATAAGTCAAGGGTAGCAACGGCGGGCACTGAGTTTTACTGCGACACTGAGTTTTCCCGCGCTGAGTGACGTAGAGCAATCTAAGGGGTCCACACACCGCGCTCCGCTCACACCGCTCGCTCCCTACTTCCTCCCACTCACCATGAATAATATTGACGGCGTATTATTTTTGTAACTTAAATGAAACTATCAAAATTTATATGATTATATATATATATAAATTTTGATAGTTATAAATATATATACACACACAGTCCCGTCCTTTAGGGGGGCACTAGACCCAGTGACCTCGGGACATTAGCTGTTGACTGGTTAATCTGACCTGACGGTTTACGACACCATCGCAATCGTGACCTTACCATCCATAGCTACAGTCCCATGGGGGTTGGTGGGGGTGGGTTCCTCTGACCGCATAATCTGACTCCATATATATTTTTCTGGGGCCTCGCAGTGGCTGAGTTGCCCTGGCCGCACCTTCCTTGGGTGGCCCTGTATATATATATATATATATATATATATATATATATATATATATATATATATATATATATTTATATATATATATTATAAAACTTAGCGTTTATGGTCAATTCTTGACGTTAGTGGTTAATTCTTACTTGACGCCAGAAATGGTTATCGTATTTTTTCCTTTCGTAAACTTATTTTCAAAATACTTTATTACATAAATTTTTAATATTCAACTGATCAAATTGTCTGGAAATATGTACAGTACATATTTGTAAATGGGAAATTTCCCGCCTATTTCGCTTCCCCGTCTGGCTGACCCCCCTGGTCGCTCGGTGGTCAAGGGTAGGCGTTGCAGGTGAACCGCTTTCTCATTGTATTTTTATAATTTCTAGCAGAAATCTTTGGAATTAATTTACATGTTTTAAAACTCTAGGTGACTAAATGGGATGTGACGCTGGTAGTTATTAAAATAAAAACGTGAATTGAACTTAGCCATTTAGTGGAAGTTCGGTGGGTGACGGTTGACGAGGACGAAGTGGTAGCGAAACTAGTCATGTGAAATGAATTGTCTTTAATTATTTATAATTTATTAATTTGAAATTTCTAAGCCATATCCGAGAAAATAACAACGGTCAATTATCATTCGGCATTTAATGTTCTTGAAGGAAATGAACGCCCGTACAATAATTGAGACTGACATGTTTGTTATAGACGAAAATAACGTAACATTTTAGAGCCTTGGTTTTGTATGGGGCAAAAATTATACGCACTAGAGTTAATTTTAGTGAATGTTCTGGGCATGAGCTGATGTTCCTCTCAAGTGGAGCCATGGTTTTTGGCGCCAATTTCTCTGCACTGGACAGTTGAGAGAAATTGGCGCCAAAATGTCACGCCGGGGTAAGGCATGCGTTTCAGTTTTACTAATGACTTAAAAGATAAGTCAACGATGATAATGAAACGCCAGAGTAATGGCTGGCGTTGCTCTGTCCACCGAGATTCTGCTCGACTAGCAAAATGTATTAAGCGTCTGTGGTTAATTCTTACTTGGCGCCAAAAGTTATGGTTCCCGTATTTTTTTTCTTTTCTTTCGTAAACTTATTTTCAAAATACTTTTATCAAATTAATATTTAATATGTAACTGATCAAATTGTCTTGACATATACATATTTGTAGATGATAATTTTCCCGCCTTTTTCGCTTCCCACATCTGGACCAGTGGGCGGCACTGGTCGTTCGGCGGTCAAGGGTAAGCGCTGCAAGTGAACTACTTTCTCTATTGTATTTGTCCCATTTTTTATCAATTCCAGCATAAATCTTTGGAATTAATTGACATGTTTTATAACTAGGTGAACTAAATGGGGTGGAAAGCTGGTAGTTATTAAAAAAGGGTGAATTTAACTTAGCCACTAAGAGGAAGTTCGGTGGGTGACGGTTGACGAAGACGAAGTTAAGTGGTAGCTGAAATATTCAAGTGAATGAATTGTGGCTCAAATTTCTAGACTTTTTATTGATTTTTCTAAATTATATATAAAAAAAAGGTCGATTAACACCGGTATTTCATGTTCTAGAAGGAAATTTACGCCCATACAATCATTTTAGAGCCTCGGTATTGTATGGAGGAAAATCATATGAACTAGAGTTTATAACATCAGAGATAAGTCAAGGGTAGCAACGGCGGGCACTGAGTTTTACTGCGCTGAGTGACGTAGAGCAATCTAAGGGGTCCACACACCGCGCTCCGCTCACACCGCTCGCTCCCTACTTCCTCCCAATCACCATGAATAATATTGACAGCGTATTATTTTTGTAACTTAAATGAAACTCAAAATGTATATGATTACAGTATATATATATATATATATATATATATATATATATATATATATATATATATATATATAAACAAGAAAAACATCAGGAATATCTAGCTGTCTTTATTTTGAAGACATCTTCAGAGCCAACTGTTGCCTCTGAAGTTGTCTTGAATAAAGACGAAAGCTAAGGTGCTCCGTTGTTTCCCTTTTCCCGTGTGATTTTATCAAGATTTATATTTTTTTCCTTTCGTAAACTTATTTTCAAAATACTTTATTACATCGATTTTTAATATTCAAATGATCAAATTGTCTTGAGATACGTACATATTTGTAAATGAGAAATTACCGCCATTTTCGCTTTCACTCCATGGGCGGCA